TTCAGACACAAGTTTGTCCCGGCACTCGGAGACGTTTTCCCGAGAAATTTTGGCTCGGCCGGTGTAAAGGGCATCACCAGTGCTGTCATCTACATAGCAATGAATGTTATGGGTTTGCAACATATCATTGATATGCAGAAAAAACAGCGTTGGCCATAGTACACAGCCTTGTGGAACACCAGTATTAATAGGCTTGCAATTGGAGCTTGGACCGTCTACAACAACGTTGATGCCCCAATCTGCAAGAAAGCTGGTGATCCAATCGCACAATTTCACGGGAAGCCCATAGGATGGGAGCTTCGAAAGAAGCGCTTTGTGCCAAACCCGATCGAAGGCCTTTGCAATGTCCAAACTAACGGCCAATGCCTCCCCCTTGGACTCTACTGCCTCCGCCCATCTGTGAGTTAGGTAGACCAGAAGATCACCAGCTGATCGACCACGGCGAAAACCGTATTGGCGGTCACTAATCAGCTGGTGATCCTCAAAGTACCTCATGAGCTGGCAGTTTACAATGGACTCCATTGTCTTGGAGAACAAGGAGGTGATGGCGATAGGCCGTTAGTTAGACGGGTCTGAGCGGTCGCGTTTTTAGGGATCGCGTGGACGAAGGCCGTATTCCATGATTTTCGGACTACGCTTAGGGAGTAGGAGTACCGGAAAAGGCGCGTTAAAACTGGTGCCAACTCTGGAGCACACGTCCTCAGTACAATTGCGGGGATTCCGTCAGGCCCACTCGACTTGTGGATGTCCAGGGAGAGGAGTGCTTTGCGAACCGAGCGCTGTGTGAACTGCACTTTCGGCATGGAGCACTATAACCGCGGGACGGTCGGCGGCGTACTCCCCTCGTCATCGAGAGTCGAGTTGGACGCAAAAAAAGAGCCTAGAAGATCGGCTTACTCCCTTGCGGTATGGGCCAGTGAGTCGTCCTCCCTGTGGAGAGATGGAAGAGATGGCTGACAGAAATTCCCCGGGACAGCCTTGGCGAGAGACAAGAATGCACGAGTTCCAGAAGGAAGGCGAACTAGTTTCACGCCAATTCTGCATATGTGCTCTGACTTTGCCTTGGCAATAACTCTTTTGAAGGACCTAGAGGCGGAATTATACTTCTTTTTTAGAGCGCTGGTGTTTACGTCCCGGGACGCTAATTCGTCAACTCGGGCTTGGTAGCACTCCTGCTTATAGCATAATGCTATTTTACAGGAGCGACCAAACCATGGAAGGCATGAGATTTGTCTCCAATGGGCACCACAGAGGAAGGAACAAAAAGTTCCATACCCTGAAGTACCACATCAGCGACAGAATCCGCAACATCGTTGGGATCGTACGGCGAGAAGCAAACCCGCTCCCAAATGTAAGATGCAAAGAAAGACCGCATTCCATCCCAATCGGCTGACTTATAGTGCAAAACACGGCGGCAGCCTGCAGAATGAAACTGCGATTTCAGCCTGAGTGGCACTACACTCAGGACAAGACAATGGTCCTATGAGGCTATAGGGGCGTCGACGGAAATCTGATATCCGTCCGAGTGAGAGGTCAGCAGAAAGTCCAACAGGGAAGGTGCATAATCCTCCACATCTAGAATCCACGTAGGCGAAGTAACCAGTCGAGTCAGACCATATGCCAAGGCAAAATCATGAACAGATCTCCCCGCATGATCGGTTAAACTTCCCGACATCTAACCGACACGGCCGTCGCGGACAATTGAATATTCCAGACTAATTGGCACGGCCACAGCCCGCAAAAATTAATGTCCGCCGGCCCAAACCGTCAAACAGACAAGTTTTAAGTTGTTACGATTTGGCCTAACCAAACCCCCCGTCCTGGGCATAAGGACTTATATCCGCGAGTAAATTGGCAAACGGGATAGGGTCGCGACTGCATGTTGCAAGATCGAATCTCTAACCAAAACCTCGGCCACCCTAGGCACCCCATCCGGGCCATACGCAAACTTAACAATGTGCCCACAGCGCCAATACAAATACAATATACAATTTAACAGTGGTAGAGCCACGCGGCAGCTTTGCTGTTGCAAGTATGGGCCGGTTCAAACTGGGGTGGTACCACGAGCTCACAGAATACCAGCGTGAAGTGGAAGCTCTGCTTCCGCGTTTTGTCTGATGAGTGCAGGTGGCCGGAGGCCCAAATTCCCCCCCCCCCCACATCAACATGGTAGCGGAATTAAATGATGATAGACTACCCCAGGAGGGTACCAGCACCCCTGGAGAAACCCTTGCTGAGCATCCTCAACCATGTTTCTCCAGTTCTGAGCGTGGTTGCTCAGGCTGCTCCGCGTATTCTGGGGGGGGGGGGGCAAAATTCCGCTCAAGACTAAAACTGCTCGGGGTAAACGGAGCAACAAGACCAAGGCGACCCCTGCCACGCTGTCCGTGAATTTCTGCAATATTAGGGGACTTCACTCTAACCTAAACGCCGCCCACTACCATCTCGAGACGGCGAGGCCGGCTCTGCTCTTTCTGACCAAGACACAGGTGTTCTCTCCGGCTGATGTCTCGTATCTTTCATACACGGGGTTTAAACTGGAATACTCCTTTGTGCCTCGGGCTGGAGTTTGCGTTTACTTCAGAGAGGACATCTGTTCTCGACGCCTTGGCAGACTTGAAGGTTCGAAGCTGTAGATACTTTGGCTACGCGTAGACAGCGACGACCATCCGCGCGTTTACGGGGGCCTCTACAGGTCCCATAGCGGTAATGCCGAAACAGACCGACTCTTCGACCAGGTCCAAATGGCTACCGATTCGTTACTACAGCAAATCCCCTCCGCAGAGATCGTGATCCTCGACGACTTTAATGCCCATCACGCCGAATGGCTTGATTCACGTTTAACCGATAATGCGGGGAGATCTGTTCATGATTTTGCCTTGGCATATGGTCTGACTCGACTGGTTACTTCGCCTACGCGGATTCTAGATGTGGAGGATTATGCACCTTCCCTGTTGGACCTTCTGGTGATCTCTCACCCGGACGAATATCAGATTTCCGTCGACGCCCCTTTAGTCTCCTCGGACCATTTTCTTGTTCGGGGTGTGGTGCCACTCACGCTGTAATCGCAGTTGCATTCTGCAGGCTGCCGCCGTGTTTGGCACTATAGGTCAGCCGATTGGGATGGGATGCGGTCTTTCTTTGCATCCTACCCTTGGGGGCGGGTTTGCGTCTCGCCGGACGATCCCAACGTTGTTGCGGATTCTGTCGCTGATGTGGTACTTCAGGGTATGGAACTTTTTATTCCTTCCTCTGTGGTGCCCATTGGAGGCAAATCTCATGCCTGACATGGTTTGGTCGCTCCTGTAAAATAGCATCATGCTATAAGCAGGAGTGCTACCAAGCCTGGGATGATGCATCAGCGTCCCGGGATGTAAGCACCAGCGCTCTAAAAAAGAAGTATAATTCCGCCTCTAGGTCCTTCAAAAGAGTCATTGCCAAGGCAAAGTCAGAGCACATAGGCAGAATAGGCGAGAAACTAGTTCGCCTTCCTTTTGGAACCCGTGCATTCTGGTCTCTCGCCAAGGCTGTCCAGGGGAATTTCTGTCAGCTATCTCTTCCATCTCTGCATAGGGAGGACGACTCACTGGCCCATACCGCAAAGGAGAAAGTCGATCTTCTAGGCTCTTTCTTTGCGTCCAACTCGACTCTCGATGACGGGGGGAGAACGCAGCCGACCATCCCGCGGTGTGAGTGCTCCTTGCCGTAAGTGCAGTTCACAAAGCGCTCGGTTCGCATAGCACTCCTCTCCCTGGACATCCACAAGTCGAGTGGGCCTGACGGAATCCCCCCCAATTGTACTGAGGACGTGTGCTCCAGAGTTGGCACCAGTTTTAATGCGTCTTTTCCGGTACTCCTACTCCCTAGGCGTAGTCCGAAAATCATGGAAGACGGCTTTCGTCTACGCGATCCCTAAAAAAGGCGACCGCTCAGACCCGTCCAACTACCGGCCTATCGCCATCACCTCCTTGTTATCCAAGACAGTGGAGTCCATTGTAAACTGCCAGCTCATGAGGTACCTTGGGGATCACCAGCTGATTAGTGACCGCCAATACGGTTTTCGCCATGGTCGGTCAGCTGGTGATCTTCTGGTCTACCTAACTCACAGATGGGCGGAGGCAGTAGAGTCCAAGAGGTCGGGTTTGGTACAAAGCGCTTCTTTCGAAGCTCCCATCCTATGGGCTTCCCGAGAAATTGTGCGATTGGATCACCAGCTTTCTTGCAGATCGGGGTATCAAGGTTGTTGTAGACGGTGCAAGCTCCGATTGCAAGCCTATTAATGCTGGTGTTCCACAAGGCTGCGTGCTATGGCCAACGCTGTTTCTTCTGCATATCAATGATATGTTACAAACCCGTAACATTCATTGCTATGCAGATGACAGCACTGGTGATGCTCTTTACACCGGCCGAGCCAATATTTCTCGGGAAAACGTCTCCGAGTGCCGGGACAAACTTGTGTCTGAAGTCGAGTCTTTGCTGAGCAGAGTTTCGGATTGGGGGTGGCTAAATCTACCGCACATGGAATACTGTTCCCATCTCTGGGTTGGGGCTCCCCAGTACCAGCTCCTTCCACTTGACCGTATCCAGCACAGAGCGGCTCGAATCGTCGACAACCGAGTGCTTTCCGATCGGCTCGATTCCTGGCGCTGCGAAGAGATGTTGCATCTCTTAGCATTTTCTTTCGCATATACCATGGAGAGTGCTCTGAGGAATTGTTCAGATTAATCATAGCCGCCAAATTTCGTGAACGCACTACGCGGCAAACGTCCCGATACCATGCACACCATCTGGATGCTTGGCGGTCCACCCCTGTACGTTTCAAGAGGAGTTTTCTTCCGCGTATAACCTCTCTGTGGAATAGTTTACCACTTTTTTTTTGATGTTTCTGCTTCATGGCAATCTGCTTTCCAGCAATGAGCCACTAGTTTGTCTGATTTCTCAGTTTATGTTTTCCTCAAGAGTCATACTTGTATGAAACTTTTCACACGACTCTCTTGATGTCAGGTGGTAAATCTTTTATGTAGGCTCGCTACGTCACTTCTTTTTAGCCGGGTATGCTGAAGAGCGCCTTCTCCGCTCAGAGCGTGTGCCAGTTTGTTTACATGGGCGGTCAGCTTCTCCTGGTATTTCAGGCTGTTTTGAGCTACTTCCTGTCGAACTGTTTTTAGGCCGAGGTCGAGGTATACGTATCTATTACTTATACTACGAGAGATGCCAAACATTGTTCTCAGAGCTTTGGTCTGGAATCTCTCCAAGATATCTATATCAATGTTGCTGGCCGTTCCCCACAGTTGTATCCCGTAAGTCCAGATTGGTTTTATGGTGGTTTTGTACACTAGCATCTTGCTGTTAGGATTTAGTTGTGATTTGCGTCCCAATAACCAGTTCAGTTTTCGCAGTTTTCCATCTAGTTGTTTGCGCTTGGTCCAAAAGTGTTTTTGCCGTGTAAGTTTCCTGTAAAGGTACATGCCCAAGTATTTTGCGTTATTTTCTTGAGGGATAACTTTGTAGTTTAGCGTTACCGATGGACATGTTTCTCTCCTAAGAGTAAACGTTACATGTACCGATTTGCTCTCATTGGCTTTTATTCTCCAATGGTTCAGCCACCTCTCAACTTCTATCAGGTGGTTTTGCATCTGTGATGATACCGTTTCTGGGTTGCTTTGAGCCGACAGAAGCGCCGTATCATCAGCGTATGTCGCAGTCGTTGTGTAGTCAGTTGTTGGGATATCTGCTGTAAAAATGAGGTATAGTATAGGGCCCAATATACTGCCCTGAGGGACACCTGATTTTAATTCGTGTACTTCTGAGAGATCATCGCCGTACTTCACTTGGTAGCATCTTTTATCTAAGTAGGATTTCAATATTAGGAATAGACAATGTGGGAGATGCTTCTTTAGCTTGAACAGGAGGCCGTCATACCATACCTTATCAAACGCTTGGCTAACATCCAAAAAGACTGCAGAGCAATATAATTTGTTTTCGAGGCATCTGCTGATGGTGTCAACTATACGATGTACCTGTTCAATTGTCCCGTGTTTTTCCCGGAATCCAAATTGGTGGTTCTGTAATACTGTACTTAGATGTTCTTTCATTCTGTTAAGCAATATCCTCTCAAACAGTTTGCCAATAACTGGTAGCAGGCTGATAGGTCTGTATGAAGTTGCTTCGTGTGGGGTTTTACCGGGTTTTGGCACCATGACTATATGTGCAATTTTCCATTGCCCAGGGAAGTTCGAAGGAGTTCAAGTCTTAAGCTAGCATTAAAGATGTTAACTAATTTCATTATACCTTTATGAGGCAGGTTTTTAAGTAATGTGGCATCAATCAGGTCATAGCCGGGTGCTTTACCATCCTTGAGGTTCCTTATTTCTTCCACAATTTCTTTAGGGCTGGTACTTTTTAGTGGTAAACACATTTGATTCGCTGATTCGAGGTATTCTTTGATTTCCATAGTGTGTTCGAGATTGTTTTCAGGGCGTGGTTGGAAAACTGTTTTCAGATGTTCCGCAAAGATTGTTGCCTTTTCTTTATCTGATCTCCTCCTCTTTCCTCCTTTTTCATCATTGATAGGTGATATATGGTTTTTCGGGCGCTTTAGATTCTTCGTAGCCTTCCATAGTGAGTAGTTTGTGTCTCTCGTTGGATCTAGATTTGAGAGATAGTGTTGAATATTATCATTTTCTAGGGTGCTGATAAAAGCTTTAAGTTCATTTGAGTGTCTATTGAATGCAGTTTTATCACTTGGATATCCCGTAGTATGCCAGATTTTTCTCAAACGTCGACGCTCTTGTATTTTCTCTTTAATATCTTTTGGATATGAGTTATGTTTCAGAGGTTGTCCATTACCTGTCCTTTTTGGAGTTGCAGAATTGGCAGCAATGTGAATAGTCATATTAAGTTGTTCCAGTTGTCTTTCAAGTTCTTCTATTGTATTAATTTTGGTCTTTAGTTCTGTCTCTGTTGTGATTTTATTTTTATAAATTGTCCAGTCTGTAGTGTTCGAGTTGTATATCCTTAGGAGCGGTGCTACTAGATTAACTGTTGTAGTAACATTCAGTATAACTGGTGTGTGGTCAGATGTGAGATCTATTCGAGGTTCTATGTTTAAGTAGTTACTATCTATGTTTTTAACAATAAAAAAGTCCAATAAGTCTGGGATTCTTTGTCTGTCGGTAGGCCAATAGGTAGGTTCTCTGCCGGAGTGACATTCTAATTTCATCTCTACTGTGGCTTTACAAAGATGCCTTCCTCTAGTATTTTTCAGCCTAGATTCCCAATTTAAATGTTTTGAATTCCAGTCGCCAGCACATATAAATCTGTTACCCAGTGTATAAAAATATTTCGCGAAGTCGTTGGCAGATATAGTATATTTTGGAGGACAATACACAGCGGAGAATATAGTTTCTAGTTTGCTGTCTACAAGTTTAATAGATGTTGCTTGTATTTTTTCTGTTTGGTATTCCTCTATGGGGTAGTGTTTGATATTATTTTTAATAATTACTGCTGTTCCTCCATGGCTGTTCCCAGTTGGATGATTGGTTGTATATACTGCATAATTATTAAAGTTTATGTGTGTTTTCGGTGTGAATCTTATTTCAGAGATTAGTGTCAATCATCTCTGTTCTGAGAAAAGTCTCTAATTCTTGACGTCTTTCCGTCAAGCCGTTATCATTCCAAGTAACTACTCGGAGGTTTCGGGTCATTTTTTCACCAGGCTGCTGACTAGTTTGACCATGCGGTCCATCATTTTGTCCATGATTTTTTCCATCATTGTCACCATTGAATGTTGTAATTTTTCGAACATTATGTCCATTAAATCAGAAAAGTCAGCCAAGTCGTTCTTTGTGTTTTGCTGAGTATATTGTTCTTTGGTTTTTGCTGCTTCTGAATAGGTTTTAGTTAAGTTTTGATTATCTGTGCGGTTAGTCTTAGTACCCAGGTGGGGATCTAGGTTTTTGGTCTCTATATTGTTAGGCATTGGTTTTCCTTTTGACTTAGGATCTAATTTAAGAATTCTTTCTCTATACTGTTTGTACACTTTGCATCCTTTGTAGCTAGCGAGGTGTTTTTCATCACAGTTCGCGCAAGTAGCCTCAGTGTCTGGTTTTTTAGTACATGTTGTTGTAGGGTGAGCGCTACCGCATTTAACACAGCGATAGGGCCTAAAACATTGGTTCTTGGATGCCCAAATCTCTGACATCTCTTGCACTGAATGATTTCCTTTTTCTTATATGGGGCTTCGAATTGATATTCTGATATTAATGTCTGATATTGACTATTTGTCTCACTTCATGTCCAATTTCATACAATTCTTTCGAGATTTCTGTGATATTTTCTGATGCATGGAGTCCGCGTAGTACTACTCTGTATGCTCTCTCGCTTTTAAGCTGGTAAGTATAGTGTGAGATATTATTGGCAATGAAGTTCTCTCGAATCATTTTGTATGTCTGGATGTCTTTAGGTATAATTTTTATAACGTGTCCAGATCTGAGTGTGGTCATGAGGTAAAGGTCGCTCTTTAGAAATTTGTTTAGTACATCCTTAAGAGAATTTAATTACGCTAGTAACAATGATGGGTTCTGGCTTTGGTACATATACTTTGTCTGTATTGTTGATTCTATTCGTAGATTCCGTATCAAGTAGTTCAAAACTATTACGTGTAGGGATCACAAAGTCTGGGGAATTTTTCTGTTTTTTATTCCCGTCGTTGTGAATTGGACTTGTTTATTTCCTTTTCTTTCTCCTGGTGGGAATTTCATCCCTTTGCCATTCGTCTGAGTTTATGTTGTCACTGTTAAATTTGGTCTTGGTCTGTGAATCCAGTTTGTCTTTCTCCTGTTGCTCTCTATGTTGGTTGGAGCTATAGTCATTAAGCTTTGCTGGCAAAGACGATGTCGAGTTGCTTCTGTTCTGAATAAACATGCTTTCATGCAAAGTTTGTTGGACCATGTTATTAGGGTTGGTCGGGTTTTTAGAAATTGGTAGGGTTTGTTGATTTTTTGTAATTAATTAGTTCATTTTAGTCCCACGAGTAAGGCCGATATAACAGGTCGCTAGGGAGGTGACTTCTATTCTCCTTAGAAGGCTAATACAACGACGTTTGCCAGGTCCGTCGAAGTGGATCTTTTGCGACTGGTCTCCCACCAGCCATGCAGTCTCTTGGCACGAATCTCACCGTAGACTTGGGGTGATTTTTTATAGAAGTTGTCTTCTTCATAGTCCGGGCAATTAAGCCAAGACTACCGATCCTGCGAGCAGCGTTAACAGGGTTGCGGTTTGTGGGAGTCATTTCCTACTCTCACTGTTAGACCAAGCTGGTTAGGCTGGTTTGGTCGGGTTAATTAACCGCCGCCCGAGACCCGGCGTTGTTATTCATTTGGCACCACCCAGGGGGCACGTGTAGGGTAGTGGTTAGGTAGTTCCTACGGACGCGAATAACTATACCCCCCTTTTACCACTAGCGAATTTTGCGGATCGATACGACCTGGGGACCTTCAAGGAAAGAGCGTACTCCTTTTTAAAGGGCCGGCAACGCACCTGAAATTCCCCTGGTGTTGCGGTTGATCATGGGCGGCGGTAGTCACTTAACATCAGGTGAGCCGCATGCTCGTTGGCCCCCTCTTCTATAAAAAAAAATTAAAAAAATACTTAACTAACACGAGATCTCCAACCGGAGGAGGATCCGTCTTGTCAGACCACTTAACGCGCTGCTGCAAAAGATGTAGATACTCCAGAGACCATCGTTGCCAAAAACTCTGAGTCATTTGTTGCAGCAGGTCAAATCTACTCAACCGCGAACAGTTTATTTCCCTGAAGGAGTACTCGGGCAGAGCGTTAAGCGGCTGGCCAATCAGGAAGTGGCCCGGGGTCAGAACCTCCAAATCATTCGGATCGGACGAGAGGAGACAGAGGGGCCGAGAGATGAGTACCGCCTCAATTTTACAGAATACTGTGGCAAGCTCCTCAAATGTCAAAATAGTTTCGCCAATTACGCGACGGAGATGCATTTTGCCACCATAAACACCACCTCAAAAATACCGCCCCAGTGTAGGCAAGCCGGAGGGTCGAATTTCCACTGGATGCCCTTCTTGGACATCGCAGTACCTAAATAAGTCCTGTTGCTGGACAGAAATTCGACGACCTCTTTCAAAAATTCTATCCGTGCCCTTATAATTCGTTCCGCAATCAGGCCGGATCTGGTCCGGCAAACCGCGACGCGATACGAAGCGGCCCAGCGTGGCCACAAAGGCTTCAGTGCTAAGGGCACTAACAAGTTCTAAGTGAACGGCCTTAGTGGCGAGGCACACGAAAACGCACAGATAGGCATTCTATGAACGCGCGTTACGAAGGTTGGATGATTTGACGAGGAAGGGGCCAGCAAAGTCGCTTCCGACTCCAGCGAATGGTCGAATGGTCCTGACGCGGTCGGGTGGTAAGTCACCCATCATTGGCTGCAGTATGGTAGCCTTCAGTTTATAACAAGGTATGCACTTAAAGAGGACGCTCCGATTGGTGCGTCGGCCAGCCAAAATCTAAAACTCCCGCTGCAAAATAGCCGAAAGAGCGTTACACCCAGCGTGGGCATTCTGAACATGATGGTGAGTTACCAGTAACCGAACAAAGCCGCCGTCCTTAGGGAGCAGCAACGGGTGTCGAGCCCCTTACGGCAGTTGAGAATTTTTCAAACGTCCGCCAACGCGCAGCATCCTAGCGTCATTCAGGAAGAGGTTCAGGCGGGCCAGAGCGCTCTTGACAACGGAGCCCCGCTTCAAGGTTTCAATCACGGGCGCAAAATGCTCCGCTTGGACCATACGGGTCCAATGAATTAAGGCTTCGCGACGCTTGCTAGGGGATAAAACGGAATTAGAGATTCGGTTGGACGGGTCTCTCGAATTGCGGACAAATCGACGCAACCAAGCAGTCACTCCTATGAGCTTATCGAGAGAGCTGTACCGTTCTAGCAGGGAGAAATCCCGAGTGGTCTTATCCTTGCCTACTCCTAATCGGGCTCGTAGGCCAGGTAATTCAATCATTTCGGAGTATTTATTCTGGGACCAGAATGACTGAAACTCAGTCAACCAACTGGGACCCCGCCACACCGGGTGGTCAACCAAAGAGGGGGGTTCACAGCCGCGAGAAGCACAGTCTGCGGGATTCAACTCCCCTGGGACATGTCTCCAGCTTAGAGACGTGCCAGAATTCTGGATTTGAGACACGCGGTTCGCCACAAAAACCTCAAAATTGTGAGGTGCAGCTCTAAGCCAACAAAGTACTATCTCACTGTCCGACCAAGCGTAGACGTCCGTAATGTTGATTACAGAATTCAAAGACGAGTGAACGTGGTTGAGGAGTCGCGTGAGAAGAGCGGCTCCGGACAGTTCCAATTTAGGGATAGTTATCGGCACCAAATGAGAGCAAACTTGCTTTTGGCAAGTACGAGATGGACGGAAATATGGCTAGAAGAGCTCACAGTCCGCAAATATACGATAGCAGCATAGCCTTTCTCAGAGGCGTCGCAAAATCCATGTAGGGTAGCCCTGCATTTCCCTGGAGCGTGGAAGCACCTTGGCATGGAGACCCGGTTGATGTCCGGAAGGGAGGACACAATGGAGTGCCACTCTCGCAAGAGAGCACCGCTTATAGGATCATCCAAACCCAACCCGGATATCCAGAGCTTTTGAAGAAAGCACTTAGCCAAAAAATGACCGGAGTGATCCATCCATTAGGATCGAAGGTGCGGGCTACTGTAGATAGCACGGAGCGCTTGGTCCATGAATTGGAAGGGGGATCAAGTTTGACTCGATACGTGAAAGTATCCTGAACAGGCTGATATTGAATGTCCAGCACAGTCAACAAATTAGGATTTTCAGGGTGCTCGAATAGATGAGGGTCTTGTTGATCCTCTCCTGGGAGGTCATTCAAAATATGAGGGGAGTTCGACAACCATTTGCGCAACTCATAACCTCCGGACTTCAGGATGGCAATCAATTCGTCTCTCAATACAAGAGCCTCCTCGACGGTGGAGGGCCGTGCAAATTCAGACCGAAGTCTCCAAAATAGAAGCCCCGAGTGTATTTTAGACGCTCTCTCTCAGTGAGTTCGAGGAGGGTTCGCATGGCGATATACGGGCTGGACCAGAGTCCATAGGTGGTGGTGTTCAACTCAAACACCTGTATCGGATCGCTGGGCTTCTCGCGCCACAATATCAGCTGATATCGA